AGAGAGAGAGAGAGAGAGAGAGAGAGAGAGAGACGATAATTCTCTGACCTCGCGGCTCGCGCCATGCTACTTCCATCGATAGGATAAGCAGCATCCAATGAATCTTCGGCTAGAACATGGAATATGGCCGACCGCGTCATGCTACTTCCCAACCTCCCCCGGCGCGGCGCGAGAATCTCTCTCTCTCTCTCTCTCTCTCTCTCTCTCTCTCTCTCTCTCTCTCTCTCTCTCTCTCTCTCTCTCTCTCTCTCTCTCTCTCTCCCCGTTGGTGTACCCAACCGCCCCGCCCCGACCGACACGTCGCTCCGGCCAGCCACACTATCGGCCCTCTCCGCCCTCGCTCCACCGGCCAATTCCCGCGCGCCGCGCTTTCGCACCTTGGCCCACCCTTTTCCCCTTGCCCGAGCCCTCCGCGAAACGCCACGGCCAAGTCCCTCGCGCCGCGGTCTCTGTCCGCCCTACCATTCCGCTGCGAAACGCCGCGCCTTTATTTCGTCGCCCGTGTCCCGTGGCCCTCCGGTCCGATTTTTGCTGGGCCCAGCGGGACGCGTCACGCTGGGCCCTTTCCTTGCTTTAGGAGTATATATATAGGAGTATAGAGATATGGGGTGTGAACCGACAGTCTTTGTAGAGTTTTCCATCTGGTGTGGGTGAGTGATAGTCTGCTTCGATTTTCGTCACAGGTACCTTGAGGGCAGTGGTTGGTGGTCCCCACGTTGGGAGTATAATTCAGTGAATCTATCGGCAACTGCTATCAAAAAACTCTTGATCACCTTCTCTAGCAATCATCAATGGAGACAATTTCGACTGATTGGGGTGGAGGGTTTAGGTGTACATTCACGAACAGGCGATGTTCTAGTACATTGCTTGGGAACACTGGGCAGTTTGTGCAAGTGCGAGTTGTCCCTCGTACCGCCCAAAGCGAGCAAGTACCAAAGGAGCGACAAATCCCACACATGTGAGAAGAATTGGAAAAAAAAAAAAAAAAAAAGGAAGAAGAAGAAGAAGAAGAAGAAGAAGAAGAAGAAGAAGAAGTAGAGAAATGTGCAAGGGAAATGATCAATAGCGAAGTGACACAATTTTAAATTGCAACATCACATCGAAAGCCAGATAGTCGAAAACTGTCCAGAAAGCATGAAATGCACTGATGTCACACCGAAGGAGAACCAAAGCAGAGAACTCAAAAATTGTCAATGAACGCATACGCGACTACCTACAATGTAGTAATCGAAGCTCTTCCTCCGATACTGGCGCTCAGCGCCCAGACGACGATCCTACAGCAACAGCGCTATCCTTTTTTTTTTTAAACATGCTCTGATCTATTTGTGGGGAGCAGCACGGTCAGCACCTGCTGGAAAACGGGTCCAGCGTCTATCCTACTCAAAATGACGAAGCAATTGTTGACGTCAGCAGCCGCAACCGAAGTACATGCAGATGTCGACCATGCAGACCACCGCCTCGGCCAGGTATGTGCTCTCACGTCACCTCCCCTCTCGCCCTCTCCTGCTCACCCTCGTCTTCTACTCCCACGTCCTACCTCCTCCTTCCAAGAACCGCCGCCAACCCCCGCTGACCATACAAGTCCCAGCCTGGCTACGAAGGCTGGGCTATGGCGCTGCGTTCTTGCAGCGCCCTTCTTCTCCCAACGCCCGTGCGCACCCAGGCACCAGCGCTAGCACGCAGCGCGCGAACAATCGCTCCAGCAGTGCTGCCGCATGCACTCGCAAGTGCCTGAATGAATGGCTCACGGCCAGGGGCACTTGCTATGTGCAAAGTGGCGTAGCCTGACGGCAGCCTAACCTGGCCTGGCATGTGCCCAGTTGCTTCAGGTTGGGCCAAAGTGTCTGCGCCCAGGCCCATTCCAGCAGCGGCCTGGGGCCGAATTGCTTAGGCCCGCCAGCCACCCAGGTGTAAGCGTGAGGTCCTCGCTGCTTCCCCTACGTTGCTAGAAGAGCCCGGAAGGCTCACGAATTGTTCCGATTTCCACGAGCAGGGTGGATGTAACCAACTGGCGTGTGCCAACTGTCTGGCGCCGACCAAGGCTTCGCAATATCGACGAATTCAGGCCTCAGTGAAGTTCGGGGGGCCGGCGCCTTCACTTAGGTCGGGCACATGTTTGCCGTAAGGGCCACCTACCCATGCAGGTATGCCGAGGGCTTAGAAAATGGTCACAAATGCATGTTACATGCCCTTTTTCGTATTTTTACAGCTTCAAAACTGGTTTGTTTGACATAGTCTGAAAACAAAGAAGCTACTATAGCACCGAGCTATACAACCACCTACCTATAGCACCTACCTATACATGGCAATATATATCGTAACTACTAACTATGAAAAAAATTTAAAAAAAGGACAAGGAGTTTAAAAGGACCCAGTTCTCCCCTCCCCCCCCTCCTCCTCCCCTCCTTTCTTTTCTATAACCCTTTATTGAAATTTGTTTGGTTTTTGCGTGCTCGCTTTTTTCTTTATGTTGACTGCATGCTTCTGATGGCGGCGTTGTTGTGGTCCCGTTGTTATGTTGGCATTGGATTGCAGTCTGCTTCGTTGATCGACAATCCGGATCAGCGCATCGTTGACGACATTGCTAGCTTTACCGTCACGTCACTCGCATTCGCTTTGGCGATTTTCAACGCATGCATCGATCTTATCTCATTCAGTGGGATTCTGTATGGAATATATCCGCCTCTCTTTGGTGTACTAATTGTGTACTCGCTAGGTGGTACCGCCCTCAGCGTTGCCCTGGGAAAGGTATGCTTATGGAGCGCTCAGTTTGTTTCTTTTTTTTTTTTTCTTCTCAAAACAAAAAGAAAACAAAAGGTCCATTCTGTGTGTGTGTGTGGGGGGGAGCATTTGATTTTTGGTTTTTAATTTATTTTTTATTTATTTATTTTTTTACGTTACCAGGGCGGATGTGCAGGACCCCCCCCCCCCCCCCCCCCTCCCTCCCCTGAGTGTCCGGGTTGTCGGATCGGACAACCAGTGCAAACATCTGGCTGGGACCACACGGGGCCATGGGGGTGGGCAGGAGGACAGCAGCTACCATACGAGGCCCAATAATTTATTTTTTTGAGGCTGTTAGGGCCTCCAAAAACGAAAAAGAAAAAAGCCCCCATCTCAGCCATCAGATCTTGAAGATCAACGGCTCAGATTGGGCCCCTTTTTCAATTTGAAATTCGAATTTCCTCTGCAGCTGCTGCTGCTGCTGCGGCCTCCCCTTACCCCCCACCCACCCTTCGTTTTATTTTATTCTTGTTCTCTGCTGAATCGTGCAGATGCTCCAACCGCTGCAGCTGCTACAGCCCCCCTGCATCCCCCCCCCCCCCCCCCCCCCCCCCCCCCCCCCCCCCCCCCCCCCCCCCCCCCCCCCCCCCCCCCCCCCCCCCAAAAAAAAAGGGCCCAGATTTTCACCAGACACGTGGGCTTTACAGATTGGCCGAAAACGAGTTGTTTGGGATCCTGGACAACTGGGGTCCCGCATGTCCGACCCAATCGTCTGGCCCAAGTGTCCAGTGACCAGACACTGGGTAACTTAGCTTTTTTTTTTTTTTGTTTATTTCTCTTGAACCGAAGCATCCACCTGTTTTGCTTGAAGCTGATTTTTGTGAAAACCAAATCGTTCTGTTGTCATTATGGTGGGGAATGGATGAAGTTTAGGTGAAAGGATTTGCTCAAATGGCAGAGGTGTTATTGCAAACAATGCGAAGTGTGGAGATATTACAGCATTTACCCCGAGGGTGTGTGATCTGTACCTGGATATATTGTCCTCCAAATTCATTTTGGCAGAGGCATTAGCGCAAACAATGCAAAGCGTGGAGATTATAGCAATTACCCCGAAGGTCCTGAGGGACTACGGTGATAATGCAACACATGGTGTTCGCTAAGGACGCTGCTGGGCCTCTCAAGGCTATATTAGGATATTTTACTATATTCGTTTGTTTTTTTTTTCCCCCCTTTTTGTTAAGGCTATATCGTTAAGGGGCACTGTGGATTATAGAAATTTATAAATAATAAACATCGAACCTATCTCTATCTCTATGCTAATGATTCAATCTGATTAATAATTATCTTTTATTCGATTATTCAATTGCTCCGGAAGCCCTTATCCCCTTACCTACCTCGCATGCTCTCCCCCTCCCCCCACCAAGCGCCTCCCCCGCTTCTCCTCTCCCCCTCCTTCTCTCCCCTTACCTACCTCCCACGCTCTCCCCTTCCACCCATCAAGCACCTCACCTCCTTCTCCCTCCCCCTCCTTCCCTCCTCCCTCCATTACCTGACAGGACTTCTCTTTTCTCTACGACGACTCGCTTCAATTTCCTTGTTTTTTTTTTTTTTTTTGGGTGGGTGGGTGGGTTGGGGTGGGGAATTCCCTTGTTCTCTTTTATGGTGCATTTTCATTAAAAAAAAAAAAAAATGACGACCTTGAGATAGCATTATTTCCCCCTTCCAAAAAAAGGAGAGAGAGCATTATCTGGCATTATGGAACAGAGCTCCCTCCAGGTAACCTCAAAGTCCAGGGTCCAGACTCCAGACTTATCTCTTTTTTTTTTTTTT